CCCAGGAGAGCTCCTCTGCCTGTGCCAAGTCAGAGCTTGTGTCCATAGGCAAACTTGGCGACTGTGGCAGGAGGACAAAAAGTCAGGTGTGTCAACTCAACAATGAAAGGTTTGTACTTTTTGCAGTGGTTGTTTTGGCCTTTCCACTTTTATCTACTTCACTGTACCTGAGAATGAAGATTCCTTCCATTGTTTTAACACAAGTAAATTTTAGAAGTGACTACGTTGGTACTAGTTGGTCAAAAAAAGGAAAATATTTTCAAACAATAAATGGAATATATTATTTTCACTGTGTCTGGTCAGTACTTGGACATAAACCTGATTCCCACATTCTTGTAATAGTGATATAAAAAATACACGCTTTCCATAAAGTCAGTTTAAAATAGTACTCTACGAATATCTGTGAATTAGTAATGAGCCTGTCATTTGCCTGCTATGGCATAGTATGACTAAAGTAAAACATTGTTACAATCAACGGGATAAAGTAATCCAGACTTAAAGAAGTGTGTTATATTAGAAATGATTTTCTATTAAAGATAATGGATTCCATGACAAGTATAATTAAATCTGTAGTTTTAACCAGACAGACCACATAGACAGTAAAAATTAGGTTTATAGAAAGTGGTGTATAAGGCCAAATTAATGACAAGTCTCCAGAGTATATTTTCACACATATCAACAAGTATGAACACACGTACTATCAAAATTTTATTAATTTCTTCATCACAGGCACCAGTTTGGAGTTTGGAGATGCTGCACGTTCTCCTGTGAGCAGAACACTCACCAGGACCCTGCACAGCCTGAGGGCCTCAAACACAGCCTCCCTAGTAGGCTCAGCCTCTCATTGCAGCACCAGTAACTGCAGCACCCAGAGATGGAGCCCACAGCAGTTGGGCTGGAGAAGATGGTGAAGACGGCTGGAGAGCCTTTGAAGAGGAGGCCATGAGTCCTCACTTACAGGCATGGGCTTCACTTCTGTGCGAACAGGGCCAGGGCCCCCAGGAAGCCTCCCAGAGCCTCTCCCTTCCTCCCAAC